AAATACAGACCTCTAAGTGTCCCCCAGTACCAGATGAGACCACCTCCAAGACCTAGAGCCCATCACAACCTTATTTTCAAAAATGCTTGGGTGTCACAACAACAAAAAGCTAGTAATACATTTACTATTAATCTAATATTTAATTATATAAATATCAGATTAATTGTTTATAATATTTGAACTTTTATTATTATTGATGTAATGTAAAAAAAAAAAATCAATAATAATGATCTTCAGAGTTAAAACAAAAGAAACACAAAACTAATAATATATTAATAATAATCTAATATTAAATAAAAATCTATATTTTTTATACACATTTTATAACTTATATAATCTATATGTGTGTGTGTGTCTTGGGTGGGTTAAAACTCCAAAAGAACACAAAAACCCATTAATATATTAATTTGAGAATTTATTCAAACAATTTTTTTAAATGTAGTAATAATTGTAATACATTTAAATGATTATATATGAAGTAATATAGCTATTATTATACTAATTAATATTTGAACTTTTATTATTATTGATGTAATGTAAAAAATCTGTAATAATGATCTTCAGAGTTCAAACAAAAAGAAAAACTAATAATATATTAATAATCTAATATTAAATAAAAATCTATATTTATATACACATATTATAACTTATCAAATCTAAATGTGTGTGTGTCTTGGGAGGGTTAATAAGAACTCCAAAAGAACACAAAAACCCATTAATATATTAATTTTAGAATTTATTCAAATTTTTGTATTTATTTAGTAATTTAATTATATAATTAATCTAATGTAAATGCATAATAATAATATTTTAACATTATTATTACCATTATATTAATGTAATAATGTAATTAAAATATACTACTGCTAATAATAATAACAAATTGTCTTGGAGGGTTAATAAAAATACCAAAAGAAACAACAAAACATTATTACTATATTAGATAATCTAATATTAGATTACTATTATATTTTAAATACATTTATAATAATTTAAATATTACTAATAACCATCAAACTAATTTTCACTTCCAGTATGAGTAGGCCTATAGGAACACGCATTGTTTCAATTTAAGCCATCACGCTGAATATCTGTGACAAATACTAGCGGGACAGAAATTAGACTACTTTCACGACTGAACTTTGTTGACATTCTGTATAGAATTATTGTTTTCAGTAAACATCCCAATATAATAGTTATGTTCCCCTCTTTGCTGTAGAAGCCTGATGTGCTGGAGGAACAGGAGGACAGAGGGGGAACAGCCGGATATGAAGCTACACCAGAAGGTATGACACACCAATGGAGCTGAGGAGCAACACCCCGAGATCTCCCTCACAGTGCCGTCATGGGGCGCAGAGTAGACGACAGAAGAGAGACACTTACAAACCCATCGACCTCAAATAATACTGACAAGAATCCTGTAAGAAAAAGACTAACAATAACAGAAAGGAAACACGTTCAGCAAGAGAGAATGAAACAGCTACCAAAGGCTCAGTCCCGGCTGTGTCCTGACAGCCAGATTTCATCCTCAATAATCCCTGCCCAATCCCCAGCAGCACATAATCAGACACACAAGACCGAGTCTTTACGTGCACTCGTGCTGTTGCACATGCACTAGGCCTGGAGACTGACATCCCATTCAGTGTTCAGTTCGTTGGGAGGATTTCATAATGAAAATATTCCTAGGCATTCCTAATAACCATCAAACTAATTTTCACTTCCAGTATGAGTAGGCCTATAGGAACACGCATTGTTTCAATTTAAGCCATCACGCTGAATATCTGTGACAAATACTAGCGGGACAGAAATTAGACTACTTTCACGACTGAACTTTGTTGACATTCTGTATAGAATTATTGTTTTCAGTAAACATCCCAATATAATAGTTATGTTCCCCTCTTTGCTGTAGAAGCCTGATGTGCTGGAGGAACAGGAGGACAGAGGGGGAACAGCTGGATATGAAGCTACACCAGAAGGTACGACACACCAATGGAGCTGAGGAGCAACACCCCGAGATCTCCCTCACAGTGCCGTCATGGGGTGCAGAGTAGACGACAGAAGAGAGACACTTACAAACCCATCGACCTCAAATAATACTGACAAGAATCCTGTAAGAAAAAGACTAACAATAACAGAGAGGAAACACGTTCAGCAAGAGAGAATGAAACAGCTACCAAAGGCTCAGTCCCGGCTGTGTCCTGACAGCCAGATTTCATCCTCAATAATCCCTGCCCAATCCCCAGCAGCACATAATCAGACACACAAGACCGAGTCTTTACGTGCACTCGTGCTGTTGCACATGCACTAGGCCTGGAGACTGACATCCCATTCAGTGTTCAGTTCGTTGGGAGGATTTCATAATGAAAATATTCCTAGGCATTCCGGTATTCATCAACAACGAATGAAAAGAGGATTATGCATCAAGGACACTCCAGTTTCTGTGGTACCACCCCTCAAAAAAAATGAATGCAGAACTTATCTGAGGCACAAAGTGCAATTCAATGAACTGAAGATCAAGAGGATGGAGAAAGAATTTTCCCCAAAGGAAATTCAGATTTCTCTCCCCTAACTCGCAACACTGCCACTGGAGTGAAATTTCCCAGTTCCCCTGGACATCACCTGCTTGTTCTGTTTGTATGAAGTCTGCACTGGGCTGTTAGGCTGTGCAGAATGTTGTGTTCATTTGTGTATGAAGAGCATAGGATTGCAATTTGAATAATTAAATGGCCGGAACATCTCATCTAAAACTAAAACACACAATCATTCTTTATGGATACAGGTGTTTTGTGCTCTAGGAGAAATGCTAGATGATTATTATTTTGTTAAAGGGGACATCAGATGCCCATTTTTCACAAGTTGGTATGATTCTTTAGGGTCTTCATGAACTGTCTGCAACATACTTTGTCAAAAACAGCTACACCTAACCGTTTCGGTGCATGTCTCTTTAAAGGGTTAGTTCACCCAAAAATGAAAATTCTGTCATTAGTTACTCACCCTCGTGTTGTTCCAAACCCGTAAGACCTTCGTTCATCTTCGGAACACAATTTAAGATATTTTTTATGAAATCTGAGGGCTCTCTGACCCTCCCATAGACGGCAAGGTAACTACCACGTTCAAGGTCCAGAAAAGTACCACAATTATCGGCAAAGTAGTCCGTGTGACATCAGTGGTTCAACTGTAAAGTTACGAAGCTACGAGAATACTTTTTTGGACGCGCGTTCACGACAGTACCATGACGCGAGTGTATGTCAGCGCCGCCACACGCATGGTACTGTCGTGAACGTGCATCCACAAGTGACGCAGTAGGGACGAAAATGTGGAATAAAGTCGTTATTTTTGTTTTCTTGGCGCAAAAAAGTATTCTCGTAGCTTCAGCAAATAATCACAAATATAAAGTGTGGGACTTACTTCTGCTTGAGGTGCAGCTGGATCATGAACAGTGGGTACTGGTCCATCCTTGAGTTTTAACTTTTTAGCAAAACCTGCCTTGAATTGTCCCTCATTCAGAAAGCAGTCTGGAGTAAAATGATTTGCACAGACATAAATGAATTTAGGTGTATTCATTGGCGTGTTACCATCAAAAACAAAACTAATCCACTGCGGCCTCAGCGGCTCTGATGTCGGGAGGAAATGATCTCTTATGTTACATCCAACTACAAAACACCTGCATTGCTTTCGAGTCTTTGTTTTTCGCTACAGCTGCTCAAGCGCGGAGAAAAGGGTGGACAGCGTACAACTGGCTGAGGGCGGAGATATGCTAATAATACAGGACAATCCGTCAGCGGTCATGGGGCGGGGCTTGTACAATATGACGTCATATTGCTCAGAAAATCAAAACTCTTGATTATTGAGATTGTTTAGGTTTTTGGGGATTAAAAAAGTAGTGATTGTAGGGTGGTTGTGTCCACACACTGCTAAGACTCGTGCAAACACCATGTAAAAGTGAATTTTGCATCAGATGTCCCCTTTAACATTTTGTCATTTTAAACATTTACTCAAGTTATGTGAACATCAGAATTCATAAATGAACAAATCTGTTATATTATATTTATTAATAAAACTTGTACATACATTTTTGTTGTAAACACTAGTTTTCTTGTTTTATTATTCTTCTTATTTAATGACATAAAATAAATCAAATACCTTATTTAGGTATTTCTACTGTAGCCCGCTTTGATACATTGGCTTTTTTTTTTTTTTTTAAATGTACAATTGTTAAACTACAATCCATACCACAGTTTTGTCACAATATTTGGCAGGCTGTGTATACTTTATAATACTTTATAATATAATAATAATTATTATACATAATAATAGGGATTCAAATGGGAAAACTGAACATTTTGGTGTTTCATACATCACAGACAAAAATGGCAGATTGATTATGGATTTTTGTTGTTTGTTTATATACTGACATGCAGAACAGCAAGTAAAAGATGAATGCTACAGGAGGGAGTTACATATCCTGAAGGTACACACAAGTCCACCATAGTAAGGTCAGGGATCTGACATGTTAGAAGAGTCATTCAGAGTGACTTCATAGCCGGATTACATGTGAATTCAGTCTTTTGCTACAGCCGGTTTAAGGTTCTGCACCTCAAACCACGATTGCCACGAAGCCCATGAGGCTCATTTGCTAGCCGAAACTCCACATGAATAGTGCAAATCTCCTTAATTCACATTTAGGTTCTGGTCAGATGTTGCACTGGATTCCGTTGAAGTGATACGTTTCCTCAAACAACTCAAAAAGCTCTGTTAGAAGGAAACAGACAGGCGCAAGTGCAGACAATTGTAAAGGTTACTGAATGGAAAGAGTGCAAAGTTAGTTTATTGTGTTGAATATAAATCGGAATGAATGATGACTTATTTCAAACATCTGCAAGTTAGTTATTAACTAAACTCCTGGACTTTAGTCTTGCATTCATTAACATTCACTTCTAGACAGGAAGGATGGAAGGAATGCATATTGGCGGTTACTGGTACTAGGCCATCCATTTACTGTATGAACAGATAAACAGCCGGGTCAACATCATGCCGAACACTTCAGATTCCTGATTTTGGAATTGCCGACTGCCACATAGCAGCAACTCATACATAATGCAAAGATCCACCTTCAAGAACATTCTAATGTAAAGAGGCGCAAAAGGAATGCTACAAACGCAAATTGTTTGATGCAGATATGCAGACTCCTTGATGATTACATCATTCTGCATCTCAAATTCTGGCTGCGAGTGTGCAAGTGGTTAATATGTTAATATAATAAAGCAATACATGCAAGGACTGCATGGCTCATACACTTGTTGCTTCCAGCTGTTTAAAAGAGAAAAAGAAAACATGGCTGTGCAGATCAACATTCATATTTACAATGATCGGCACGTCAACTTGGCATTTGTAAAACCAAGATATTGCAGGAAGTGTAAACTCCCAACTCACTAGAGTTAAGTACTACAAGGTTCCCGTATGCAGTCATGAGATTAGCATGCACTCATGTCCATGTTGCCATTGTGTTTGTGAGCTTTCAGGAACACCACTGCCATGAAATATTTACAAACATTATGAGCTGCTCACTCATTTGCCTGATGGGCCAGATGAACATTTAAATGCAAATGATTAACCTAATACTGGCTGTTCAAACAAAAACTGGCTCAGTCATATTTGTCAATCATATTTCTAGTTTGTACAAAGCTAAAATGTTAATATGCGGCGGGCAGCGTGTGTGTGAGATCATATGAATTTGAATGTTAAGGGCAGCAGAGACCGTTCGGCATGAATCCCTCATCATAAATGACAGCAATAAGGACATTCAATGTCCAAAGCTGTTTGATATGCATTCTTAATAGCAGTTTTATATATTTTTTCCTCCTACAAATCACATTTTCATGGGCAGACACAGAATCAGAGTCTGCCACAGCATCAATTATGTTGCCTCCATTCTCTGAATACATCAGAGCACAAACCCTCCTGCTCTCCATCTTTCTTTTCCCTTAAGTTTTCAGACCCCCTGCATGACATCTTTGGAGGGGTCATGGGTGTTCTGATGGATCAATGTACAAGAAAAGTGGAGGTATGGAGCGCAGGGAGACGTGATTTAAGGTTTGGGAGGCAGGGTCAAGCGTGGTCCTCCATGGGGAAAACAAGGCGTGTGCCTCGGCTCAAGAGCTCATGCTCACGCGTGTCCAGTTCTCGCTCCAGAGCATCCTCCGATGTGCTGTCGCTGCGTTTGCCGTTCACACCCCAGTTTCCGCCAGATCCTTCGGGCCCGGAGGAAGACGAGGCCCCATTGGCTGTGATGGCGGTGTCGCCATAGGTCAGCGTCAGATCTCCTTCGTTCAGGATGAGGTCTGAGTCATTGTCTTGCAGCGGCTCATGGTTCTGTGGAGCACAGTGACAAGTCGGACATGAAGGGGGACATCAAGTCGGACACACACACGCACTATTCATGCTCAGCACAAAGGTTCATGAGGGACACTGTGGAGTCACAAAAAGACAGGATAAAAAGAGAAATACACTTAGATGTCCTTATGCAAGAGAAAAATCACTTATCTGTGTGTAATGCAGCCTTCAAGTGCAGTTGGGAATATCATAGTTAAAAATTATGTGACACTTTATACCAACAAAGTCTCAATATTCATAAATTAAATCAATATTCTCAATATATATATATTCAATATTCTAGAATGGCAT